GAGTTCAAGGCCAGCCTGGTCTACATAGTGAGTTCAGGTCAGCTGGGGCTACAGAGAGACCCTGTCTCAAAAAGACAAAAAAACAACAACAAAAAAAAAACAGCATTAAAAAACAGAAAGTACGTCCTCGAGTCAAGAGAAAAGGCTGTGGACTTCCACGTTACTAAGTAAGAAATTACAATTTATATCCAATCCAGGTTTTAAATAATACTAGTCTTGTTTATCCTGTCCAAAAAAAAAAAAAAAAAAAAAAAAAAAAAAAAAAAAAAAGACCATTAATTTCCCTGCTGCTGTGGCCTAAGGTTCAAGTGAGACTTGGTCTACTCAAGACCGCAGAGAGCAAACTTTGAGTCCCACCCACCCATCTGTCCCCACCATTCAGGGACATTATACTGGGAAGGATGGGCTCAGAAATCTTAGGAAATGGCCAAATTCAGTTCTTCATCCATTTTCCAACCACCATGGGAGAATAGGTGGGCACCACATGCTGACTGAGCCCAGCAAAAATAAGCAGTCCTGTCTTCCTTCCTCTAAAGTTATTGTGGTTTCATACGTTCCAAACAGCTTGGGCTTTGGTAGAACTGGAGACAAGGCTTGAATGAGAATTCAGATGAGTGTGGCCGAAGAGAGGCATCCTTCATCTGTCTTCCAGTGCTGAGAGCCACAGTCACCCCCACAGGCCTCCACTTCCTGCCTTTGGGCTTGATAGACTAGAAGGAGGCAGATTATGGATCAAGGCAATGTAGAATTCTAGTTCTGGCTCTTTTGTGTGCTCTGGGCAATTTTAACCCTTCTATGCTCCTTGATTTCCTTGTCTTTGAAGTGGGGACACCAGCACAGGGTTCACAAGGCTTTGCGTGAAACTCTGCAGCACCTACAAGGTGCAACTGTGTTGGGTCTAATTTAGATCCTGTCTGTCAGAATGTTTTTGGACCCAAAGAGTCCCCCTCCTCCCTTTCCTTTCCCAGAGGAGGAAGCTGAGGCACAGAAATAAACCATTTATTTGTGGAGGCCCGCATGGAGGAAACCCTGAATAAACAGAGTCCTGAGGGTGTATTCCCAGCTGCTGGTGTGAGTGCAGGCAGATTCCTCCGTCCCTCTCTACCCACTGCCCGCTCTTTTCCTCCCCTTCATATCTACTGGAGTCATGAGATACCGACGTGGCATCAACACGCAGAGAGGTAGAGGTCGCTGGTCACCCACTGATTCTGCCTTCAGTCTCTGCCTGACCCCACCAGGCCTGGGGGCAGGTCCACACTCTTGATCTGTCTTCTTTCGGGATGGAGGTGTGAGCTGTGGCTGAATGGTTAAGTCTTGTTCCTGTATGTAAACGGAACTGAAGCTGAAGGTCTCCCTCACCCTGGCTTGCATCCACACAGGGCTTCCAGTTGGGGATTTGCTGAGGATACAGGTACTTTAGTAGTGAAAGGGATTCACAGAAGGCTGGGCAAGGGCAGAGCTGTGACCTCAAGCCTCAGCTAGCTTGGGGACCGCTGCTGCACCTAAGGTGGAAGTGGCCTTGGGAGACGCACCGTCTAAAGATGCTCCCAGAGACCTGGCCTGAGAGCACATACTGCCCCTCGGCCTCCGTAGGGCCTTCTCGCCAGTGTGGATCCTTTGGTGATGGAAGAGCGCAGGGCGCTCGCGGAAGGCGCGGCCACACTGTGTGCACACGAAGGGTTTCTCGCCTGTGTGGATGCGCCGATGGCTGAGCAGCACTGCGCCCTTGGCAAAGGCCTTCCCACAGTCCCCACAACGGTAGGGCCGTTCACCGGTGTGCAGCAGCTGATGCTGCGTGAGGTTGGAGCTGTGGCTGAAAGCACGGCCACACTGCGGGCAGGAGAAAGGCTTCTCTCCCGTGTGCACACGCTGGTGCTTGAAGAGCGAGGAGCCCTGGCTGAAGGCGGCTCCGCAGAGTGAACAGGCGTAGGGCTTCTCCCCAGTGTGCGTGCGCTCGTGCTGGATCAAGTGTGAGTTGCGGCAGAAGCGCCGGCCGCACTGCGCGCAGGCGTAGGGCCGCCCGCCCGCGTGGATCTTGCGGTGCTGGCTGAGGTTGGAGCCGTGGCTGAAGGACTTGCCGCATTCGCTGCAGTGGAAGGTCTTCTCGGCGGTGTGGATGCGCTGGTGGCGTACCAAGGAGGAGCTGTGTCGGAAAGCCTTGCCGCAGGCCAGGCACGCGTAGGGCGTCTCGCCGCTGTGGATGCGCTGGTGCTGAGTCAGGTGAGATGTCTGGCTGAACGCCTTGCCGCACTGCGTGCACTCGTAGGGCCGCTCCCCGGTGTGGGTGCGCAGGTGCTTGAGGAGGTCTGAGCTCTTCACGAACACTTTGTTGCATGCCCTGCATTCAAAAGGCTTGTCCCCGGAAAGAAGACCCGGGCCAACCCGGAGGGCCTCACCCAGATCATCCCATGTTGGGGGCTCTGGGGCACCAGGGTCTCTGTGAGACCAGGCTCCACTCATTCCACGTTCCTCTTCGGCCTGGTGGAGATTGGGGACGCTCTGGAAGGCTCTCTCGAAGGTTTGTGGCACCTCTGGCTTCTGGTGTTCTGCTGCCCATGGCTGCTTCCCCGGTGCTGGGTGGTCTGTGAAGGACGAACTGCCTTCAGGAAGCCTCGCTGGTGAGGTCAATCGCAGGCTGGAGCCTAGCAGCAGCTGCTCCCAGTAGATCACAGATACCCCCGTGGCTTTTCTCTGCTGAGATGGGGAGTCACTCTGTTGTCCTTCCAGGAGTTTTGTACCAGGGTGGGCACCCACAGGAGGGAGCACAGTAGCAGGTTTCCCATCCGGGATGGCCCCTGGCAGTGCTGTTTCTCCAGAAAGCTGTCTGTCCCTTGCATGGCAATCGGATCCTAAAGGCAGAGAAAAAGGAGTGATCTGGGGCATCTGGCCAGGAAGTGACCACAGCAGGCTGGTTGGGAGGCAGGGGTACCCTATGGACTGGATTTGGAAGGAAAGAGAGAAAAACAGAGACCTAGGTTGGCCCTGGGGGGAGGGAGTAAGGAAACATCTGTTCTAACAGCTGTGGCCTGACTGGTCAAGATGCTAGTCCCCACACAGTCAGAACATGGGATGTGGGAAACTGAGAGGCACTGCCAGCACCCAGGCCTCTGCACTGACTGTCCTAGAAGCCGTTCCTTCCAGCATTACTCCTTACACCCATCTCTGATCTATACACTACTTATCAATCCTGTTTACTGTTGCCTTTCCCTGGCATTAGCCCCACACCACAGGACACAGTGTCCTGGATGATGCTGTGTGTCCAGTGCCAGGAATAGCCTGGCCAGGACAAGTGTTCAAACAACATTTGAACACACAAGTGAAAGGGAGAAGGAATGATCCCACAAACGTTATGCCTCGTTTGTCAGTTACTCCATGGACCCAGCTCCTGTGCCCTTGAACTGCCTTTCAGGGGGAAGTAAAGCACTGCCTTCAGGAAAAGGGAGGAGAATGAGGGAAGAGAGAGAGTTTGTGAAAGGCTTAGCCCAGGTTGGCCCCGAGTTCACAAAACATGGAGCCCAACTCACCAAGGCTGGGCTTCCTATGGGTGCTCCTGGCCAGGGCTATATTTGTCCTGCTGCTAAGCCAGGGGTCCTCACCACGCTGGAGTTGGGTGATCACAGGAGGTCGGGAGACAGAGAACCCTGGGAAGGGAGGAGCAGATGAGAGGCCAGTTCTAACTCAGGACAGCCCAGCTCCAACAGACAGTAGTAGCATGTGGGACTTCATGGAAATAGACAGTGCAATCTGTGCAACTGAAAACCCAACCACATGGGGGCTCACAGAGGCAGCGCAAGGCTTCCTGTAAGCAACCATTAGGTCACCAGTTCCAAAGGAAGGGGCTAGAACCCAGGCACAGACGAACAGTCAGCCAGCACCCGGGGATCAGATTGTACGTTTCCAGGGCCCCAGCCTTCATCTCACACAGCCCCTGGTTAAAGGGTAGCCAGGGAGGAGAGGGGACAGTCCTAATGCTCTCCCCCAACTCCCCAACCTCGTGGGGCTTTACCTATGGAGTCCACAAGTGCAAAGTTCTCTAGCATCACATGGCGGTACAGGGCTCTCTGAGCTGCATCCAGGAGCATCCACTCCTCCCTGGAGAAGTATACAGCCACATCCTCAAAAGCCATCAGGCCCTACAACAGCAAGAGACAGTGTCTAAGGTATGACTGTGTCACTCAGGATCTAGTTCCTGTCCCAGTGGCCAGCTCCCCTGATGCTTCTCAGACACCCATCTTACTTTCCTGGTTCTACCTCAGACCTTTTTTTTTTTTTGGTCTTTTTGAGACAGGGTCTCCCTGTAGCCTCACCTGTCTCTCTGGAGACCAGGCTGGCCCCACACTCACAGAGATCTGCCCCTGCCTCTGCCTCCCAAGTGCTGGGATTAAAGGCATGCACCACCACACCCGGCCATTTATTTATTTTTATTTTACATATATTAGTGTTCTGTCTACATGTATGTAACAGACAGTTGTTAGCTGCCATATAGGTGCTGGGAACTGAGCCTGGGTCCTCTGGAAGAGCAGCCATTTCTCTTAACCACTAAGCCATTTCTCCAGCTCCCACCCTACCCCCTTTTTTTATTAAGAAAGGGTCTTACTATATAGCCCTGGCTGGCCTGGGACTTACTATGTAGACCAGGATGACTTCCAACTCAGAGATCCACCTGCCTCTGCATCCTGTGCTGGGATTAAAGGTATGTACTGCCACATCCCACTCAGACTCATCTTCAAATAGCATCTTCAAATGGCACCTGTCTGTGATCCCTTTATTTCTGCCTCCCTGTACGGGCCACCGACACTTGCTGAGTCTCTCTCACACTAAACAAACAAGTTCATGCAAACTTGGTGCCCTCAGCTGGTTGCCCCATGAACAGCAGCCCTGGGCATTTACTCATGCCTCACCAGAACCACTCAAGACCCTCCTCAGCTGTGCCCTTTCTGCGGTTGCAAGTAGCAATTGCAGGGCTGGAGAGATGGCTCAGCAGTTAAAAGCATGTACTGCTCTTCTGGAGAACCTGATTCGAGTCCCATCAGGCAGCTCATTACCGTCTGTAACTCCAGCTCCAGGGGATCTGATGTCCTCTTCTGGTCTCTGAAGGTGCACACACACATGTGCATATGACACACATCTATACAAAAACTTTTTAAAATGTTAAGGGTGGGCGTGGTGACACATGCTTTTTTTTTTTTTGTCTTTTTGAGACAGGGTCTCCCTGTAGCCCCAGATGTCCTGGAACTCACTATGTAGACCAGGCTGGCCTCTATCTCACAAAGATCCGCCTGCCTCTGCCTCCCAAGTGCTGGGATTAAAGGTGTGTACCACCATGCCTGGGGACACATGCTTTTTTAAAAAAAATTTTTTTAATTAACTTATTTATTTTTTGTCTTTTTGAGACAGGATCTCTCTGTAGCCTTAGCTGGCCTGGAACTCACTATGGAGACCAGGCTGGACTTGAACTCAGAGATCCGCCTGCCTCTGCCTCCTGAGTGCTGGGATTAAAGTGTGCGTCTCCATGCCTATTATTTTTATTTTATGTGTATGCATGTGTAGGTAAGTGCACCAGTATTATGCAATGTCTGAGGAGGACAGAAGAGGCTGTCGGATCCCCTGGAACTGGAGTTATGGACAGTTGTTAGCTGCCATGTGGGTGCTGGGATTCGAACCCCAGGTCTTCTACAAGAAGACCTAACTGCTGAGCCATCTCTCTAGCCCCCGACACATGCTTTTAATCCCAGCACTTGAAGGCAGAGGCAGGCAGATGTCACAGAGATGTACATACTGATTTCCAGGCTAGCTGGGGCTACAGGGAGACCCTGTCTCCAAAAACAAAAAACAAACAAACAAAAAAGCAATTAACAACAAAAAACAATTGTGAATTGTGATCTGGGCCTGTAATCCCACCTACTTGAAAGGCTAAGGTAGGAAGATCAAAAGTTCAAGGCCACCAGGACAGCTTAGGGAGACCTTGTTGAGGAAAATAGAGTTCAGGGGAAGAGTACTTGCCTAGGAGGCTGGGGTTCAATCCCCGATTATTAGAAAACAAAGTAGAGAAGTAGTGATTGTGGATCCCCGAGAGCATGCCCATCCCTAGCATCCTCCATGTGCCTGCCACACATTTCAAGACTGGCCCTTCAGATGAGGAAGTGGAGGACTTCCATCCCTACTAGGGATGGGGGGTACCTGGGGGAGTGTGTGTGTGTGGGGGGGTGCTCTGCTGCTGCCATTCCCCCACTTCCTCACCCTCAGGACAGACTCTCTCCCTCACAGCCACAGGTACAAGCCTTTCTTCATTGCTCTCAAGTCTTAACTGACCACCCCTGACCAAATCTTTGAAATCATCCCTCCCCAGTCCAATTCTCAGGCCTTGCTTTGGCCCAGGACACCAGGACTAGTTCACTGGATCCTATAACTGCACGTACACTCCATGCTGGGACATCCAATACTTGCAGTCTTTCCTCTGAAAGAAACTTGCTTTTTCTTTTCCTTTTTTTTTTTCCATTTTACATATTATGTACTGTGTTTATGTTTGTGTGTAGGTATGTGCATGTCACAGTGTTCCATGTGGAAGTCAAAGGACAAACTTCAGGAGTCTGTCCTCTCCTTCTATCAGGTGAGTTCTGAGAATCGGGGGATTGAACTTAGGTTGTCAGGCTTGGTGGCAAGCACCATTACCCATTGAGCTATTGTTTAAGCTGGGCATGGTGGTACATGCCTTTAATCCCAGGACTCAGGAGGCAGAGGTAGGCAGATCTCTGAGACAGAGGCCAGTTTGGCCCACATAGTGATTTCCAGGCCAATTGAGGCTACACAGAGAGTCTGTCTCAAAAGAAAGAAAGAAAACTATTTTTCCTCCAAGTTTGCATTTCTGTCTACAGTTCCATTTCTTTTCCAGGCACTCAAGATCACAGTTCTGGTTCATACTCAAGACCTGATGCATCAGATCTACCCACAATTCAATGCCCATGCGGTGCAGGAGCCACCATTGTCCACATACAAAGTAGTGCCTTTGTCCTTCATAAGGAAGCCCTCCTCCATGCGTGGGTTAGGATGCTGACTTCCATGTTTGTTCTTCACCAGCAAAAGGTAGGGTGCTTTTAGAGTCCTAACTGGAAAACTGTCTAGTCTATGTCTGCCATTTAAGGCACACAAGACCTTTTCTAGCTCTTTCCATATCTAAAATGCTAAGTTCCAGGCTGGGGAATCTAACAACTCAGCTTTTTGTTTGCCTAGCATGCACAAAACCCTGGTTCCATTCTCAGTACTACATAAACTGGGTGTGTGGTGGTAGATACCTGCAACCCCAAAACTTGGGAGGTGGAGGCAGGAAGCTAAGAAGCTCAAGGCCATGTTTGGCTACAGCCTGGTCTGTCTGTATAGCGAGTTCCAGACCAGCTTAGAGCTACAAGGAGGCCTTGTCTTAAACACAAACAAGGGGCTGCTAAAGAGATGGCTCAGAGGTTAAGGGCACTGGCAACTTTTCCGGGGACCGGGTTCCCAGCACCCACTTGGAAGCTAACATCTGTGTGTTAACTCCAGTTCCAGGGAATCTCATGCCCTCTTCTGGCATCCTGGGGCACTGCACTACACTGGTGCTCTTACATCCATGCAGGCAAAACATGCATATAAAATAAGAAACAAAATATTAAAAAGGAAACAAAAGAAAGATACTTTGCCTTTAAAAATAAGTCTTCCCTTAGCTTTTGGACGTGGGTTCCTTCCCTTGTAACTTGTAACTTTCTTCTAGACCTCACCCCCTTGGGTGTCAGAAGTGAAGCTCCCACAGGAGGCTAACCCCACTGACCTGGACTATGGTGTTTGGAAACCTCGCTTCCATCACCACAGGGCAGCAAGAGGTCAAGCCAGGGGGACTGACTGGTCCAAGGGAGGGGTCCCTACACTCACCTGCAATGGATCTGTCGGCGGCCTGGTCGCCGCCATCTGAACCTGCAGTGGGGGCGGGGCACAGTGGGTGGTCGCCCACCGCACGGCCCGTCCCCGTCCACGGCCACGCACAGCTTGCCGGGGCCTCAGTTTCTCGGTCGGAGAAGGGCGAGGTACGCCCCGAAGATCGCCAACGGACTAAGACTGGGATGCCGGGCACGTGGCTCCGGGCACCGCCCCAAAGGCCTCCCACGAGCCAGATGGGGAAACTGAGGCTCAGAGGCGGGGTCGCCAGCTCGGGGTCCCGGACGTGTGCACAGCCGCAGCCCGAAGCGTGCAGCCGCGAGTCTTGGGTCCCCCCACAGGAGCCTGCTGGAGAATGGGCTCAACCTCTCACGCGCGGGGCAGGATCACCCGTGTGGCCTGAAGCCGGTCAGCAAAGTGACAGTCCAGACCGCCGGAAGTCCCGCCTCCCTGGCTTCTCCTGAGCCCAATGCAAGCTACGGATGCCCCGAGATGGCGAAGTTCCTGCAGGCTTTCCCATCCCAGTACAAGGTGGCTTCCTCGAATCCATGGCAACGACAAAGCATCCACCCCCCCACCCCCCGCTGGAACGTGAAATTTACTTCCACCCAGCGCGGTCTTTTAGGTCGTCCCCGCGCCCACCTAGCGGCCCTGGCTAAAGCCTCGGCATGCACAAGTGGAAGCTTCTAGATTTCGAGGCAGACAATACCACCAAAGGTGCACAAAGCAAAAACCCTAACAGGAATGGCGCCCTAACAGGAAGAGCAGTTTTTGAGCAAGTTTGAGTTCCATTATCCTCATTTACAGCTTGGTGCCCCCCTGCAAATCCGCGCCCTCCTGCAAATTCCAGCCCTGGGGAGGCAGAGACCGGAGGATCCTTTGGTCTACATAGGGAGTTTCAGGACTCTCCTCCCCGAGTGCTGGGATCAAAGGCATGGGCCACCACACCACCCTCTTATTCATTTTTAAAAAATATTTTATGTGTATATTTTGCGTGTGTGTATGTAAGTGTACCCATGTTGTGCAGTGCCTATGAAGGCCAGAAGAGGACATCACATCCCCTGGAAATGGAATTATAATTGGGTATTGTCTTAGTTTGTTCTTCATTGCTGTGACAAAACACTCTGACCAGTACCAACTTGGGGAGGAAAGGGTTTATTTGTCTTACATCTCCCAGGTTGCACGCAGTTCATCAGGGAGCCCAAGGTAGGAACTCAGGGCAGGAACTTGGAGGCAGGAGCTGGAGCACAAGCCATGGAGGAATGCTGCTTACAGGCTTGCTCCCCTGGCCCCTACTCAGCCTGCTTTCTTATGCAATACAGGCCCACCTGCCCAGGGGTGGCACCACCCACAGTTGGCTGGGCCCTCCCACATCACTCATCAAGAAGATGCCCTTCAGACATGGCCACGGGCCAGTCCAATAGAGGCAATTCCCAGATTGAGGCTCCCTCAACCCAGGTGTGTCAAGTTGACACTAAAGCTATCCAGCACAGGTATTAACTGCCATGTGGGTGTTGGGAACTGAAACCAGGGTCCTCTCTCTGTAAGAGCAGCCAGTGCTCTTAACCTGTGTCAAGTTCCCTAATTCTACACATGCTTGTCTTGAAATAGAGAAGAATCAGGCCTGGAGAGATGGCTCAGCGATTGAAAGCAGTGACTGTTCTTGCCGAGGACCAGGGTTCAATTCTCAGCACCCACATGGTAGCTAACAACCGTCGGTAACTCCAGTTCCAGGGGATCCAACCCCTTCCTCCAACCTCTGAGGGCATTGCACGACACGGATGCACTTACACACGTGCTGGCAATACACTCATTCACATAAATAAAAATTTAAAAATAGAGGATCCTAGAGTATTTTGTTTAAGGATGGGTGGATACAATGCCTAATACACTGTAGGTACTCAGGCCACACAGGCTGAGAGGTGGAGGGGTTGCTACTTATAATTCGGACGCTGGGGTGGTGGAAGCAGAAGAATCAAGAGTTTAGTGAATTTGAGGGCAGTCTGGGCTACATGAGACACTGTCTCCAGAAAAATAGTAATAGGGACAGCCAGGCATGGTGGTTGGTGCATGCCTCTAATCCCAGCAATCGGGAGGCAGAGTCAGGCAGATCTATGTGAGTTCAAGGCCAGCCTGGTCTACAGGGAAACCCTGTCTCAAAAAAAAAAAAAGACCAAATAAGCCAGGCATGGTGGCACACGCCTTTAATCCCAGCACTTGGGAGGCAGAGGCAGGCAGATCTCTGTAAGTTCAAGGCCAGCCTGGTCTACATAGTGAGTTCCAGGCCAGCTGAGGCTACAGGGAGACCCTGTTTCAAAAAAGACCAAAATAATGATAATTAATAATAATAATAAAAAGTTTGAGGCTAGGTTGGGCTACAGAGTGAGTCCCTGTTATACACACACACACACACAGATAAAAGAGAACTCAGGTGTGGTTGCACACACCTGTAATTCCAGTACTTGGAAGGTGGATTCAAGAGAATCAGGAGTTCAAATCCAGTTTTGACTGGAGTACATAGTGAATTCTAGGGCAGACTGGGCTACATGATACCCTGTCTCAGAAAGAAAAGGGAACTGTGAGATGTCTCAGCAAGTAAAAGCCCTTGCCATGGAGCCTGACAATTTGAGTTCCATCCCCCTGAACATACAAGGCAGGAGAAAACCAACTCCCCAAGTTGTCCTCTGACCCCCATATGAGCACCACAGTATGCACAACACACACACACATACACACACACACTAAATAAATCTATCTAATCTATCATCTATCTGTCATCTATCATCTATCTATCTATCTATCTTCTATCTAATCTGTCATCTATCTATCATCTATCTAATCTATCATCTATCTATCATCTATCTCTATCTATCTATCTATCTATCTATCTATCTATCTATCTATCTATCTATCTATCTATCTATCTAATTTTGGTCTTTTGAAACAGGGTCTCATTGTAGCCCCAGCTGGCTTGGAACTCACTATGCAGACCAGGCTGGCCTTGAATTCACAGAGATCTGTCTGCTTCTGTCTCCCAGGTGCTGGGACCACAGCTGTGCACCACCACACCTGGCTAATAAAATATATTTTTAAAGGAAACTGGATGCGATGCTCTTAACCACCGACCCATCTCTCCAGCCCCCAGTTTCTCACTCTTACAGATATTCAGGAGGGTGGCAGAATTTCCACACTATTTAATTCAGTCTGGCTTAGTCTGCATGCCAAGGGGCACCAAGGCAGGCACTTGAGTAGAACCATAACTTTATTTTGCAGCTGGGAGAGGGTTTTTGACTTACTTCCTAACCCCTAGTGCTCTGTCACAGCTGGTGCTTGTCAGTTCTTAGTCCTAAGGGTGGAATGGCCTGATTTCTCCCAGGCTGTCACATCTGCTCTCTTAAAGTGGCAGTTCCATGGCCTAACATTGTGCTAAGTACAAATACTTTCCATGTCATGTCTCAAAAGAACAATGGTTGCAGGGCTGGGAGATGGCTCAGTGAGTAAGAACACTTGAGAGTTCAAATCCCCAGCATCCATGTATCCATGTTAAAAAACAAACAAACAAACAAACAAAAAACCAGGATTGGCCACGTGTAATTCTAGCATTGGGAGGTGGAAACAGGAGAGATCCCAAGATCGCACCAGCCAGCTGCCTCTCCAAACCAGTGAGCTTCATCGAGAGACCCTGTCTCAAGACAAAAAAGTGGAGAATGATGTTGCAGAACACCTGAGATTCTCCTCTGGCCTCTGTGGGTATGCACATACATCACATACATAAAATAAAAAGAAAAAATTAAAAGGCTGATCATATTATCCAAAATTTGCCACCAGACTTCAAATTGCAGCAGCTTCTGAGTGAGGGCAGAAATCCCCCAGGCATCTTGTGAAGACATGGCTGACTCAGTAGGTATCAGGTGAGCCCTGCCAGGGAACTTAACTTACTAGCGAGTTCACCAGTGAAGTTCCCAAAGTGGTCTGGGCCAGAAAACCACTGGTCAGTTTCTCGATTATTTTTAAAATTTTTATGTATATGAATATTTTTGCTGCACCACGTGTATGCATGCAAACCCTCAGGGGTCAGAAGGGAAGATTGTGAGCTGCCATGTGGGTGAAGGGAAGTGAACCTGGGTCCTCAGCAAGAGCAGCCAACACTCTTAATTGCTGAGCCACCTCTCCAGCCCTGTCACTGGATCCCTCTCTCTGTCTGTCTCAATTGAAATTTTGTGAGTTTCATACAATATAGTTTGAGATTTAGAATCCCTCCCTCGCTGCACTTCCTGCCCCTGTCTTCCAATTTACTTTTCTTTTTGAGACAGGGTCTCCCTGTAGCCCCAGCTGGCCTGGGACTCACTATGTAGACAAGCCCCAGCTGGCCTTGAACTCAGGGAGATCTGCCTGCCTCTGCCTCCCAAGTGCTGGGACTAAAGGCGTGCACCACCATGCCCGACCTTTAATGTACTCTTTTTTAAAAAAAATTTTTCCTTAACAATGTTCCTTCCACATCACACCTTTTCCTCATAGGAAGCAAAAGACCACCCTCTGCCTGAGCTGCTGCTGTCACAGACCGCCAGCCCTGCAGACTTGGCATGCTGGTTCCTCTGACCCTGTGTGCTGTGCTCCTGTGCTCTCACCACTCATTCTTTCTAAGTTCCTGCACACTACTATAGAAAAGAGTTGACTGTAGATAGCAATCATTGAATCACACTCATGAAAACTGTTTTCTTATATTCTATGCTTTTGGTACTGTTAATCCTTTTTTTTTTTTTTTTTTTTTTTTTTTTTTTTTTTTTTTGTCTTTTTGAGACAGGGTCTTCCTGTAGCCCCAGCTGTCCTGGAACTTACTATGTGGACCAGGCTGGCCTTGAACTCATGGAGATCTGCCTGCTTCTGCTTCCAGAGTGCTGGGATTAAAAGCGTGTGCCACCATACCCGGCTAAACATTAGCTTGTTTTAATCATGCTGTAAAGCTATGGTTAGCTTAGCTTTGAGTGGAAATGAAATATGTAATTCTGTTTTCCATCATTTGTTGAGTCTGAAACCCAGTTAGAAATATTTACCGTATTAAAATGTAAATGGTATTTCTGAACATGCTTTCTTCAAGTGAAAGCCCTTATGTCTAGCATCAGTATGTATGGCTTTGTTCAGCACAGCCATTTTGAGATGAAAGTCTCATGTGTGTGTGTGGATGTATATGTAAAGTATTGCTGGTTTTTAAGAATTTCTTTTACATACGTCTGATCAGAATTTCGTCAAGGTAATCGGTTTTGGTTTTGAAACTGGTTTGTCGTGACCTTGTGTCTAACCACAGTATTTATTGTATGAGACTGTTGTGAATGTGTAGACTTATGTTTAATACTAAGGGAACCATTATTAAATAATGATTTACTAGATATCAAATTGACTTGTAAGTTCTCATGTAAGCTGAAATTGTTAAATCCATGTGTGGTAGATATAATCAGGCAGAACAGGCAAGCTTAGCAAGTAAATCTAAATCAACATTTTAAACAGAGTTTTCTATCAAAATGCAGAGTTCTTACAGCATTCATCAAGGTATTTCATTTTTTTTCCCAACATAAGTACAAAGGAAATATATAATTCTGTTTTCCATCACTTGTTGAGTTTGAAACCAATCAGAAATATTTACTGTCTTAAAATGTAAACGATATTTCTGAAAATGCTTTCTTCAAGTAAAAGCCCTATGTCTAGCATCAGTGTGTATGGCTTTGTTCAGCACAGCCATTTTTGAGATGAGATTCTCATATATATGTGTGTGTATATGTATATGTGTATATGGATGTATATGTAAAGTACTGTTGGCTTTTAAGAGTTCCTTTTATATCCATCTGATCAGAGTTTCATCTTGGTTTTGAAACTGGTTTGACGTGACATTGTGTCTAACCACAGTATTTATTGTATGAGACTGTTGTGAATGTGTAGACTTATGTTTAATACAAAGGGAACAATTCTTTTTGGACTTTTTGAGACAGGGTCTCCCTGTAGCCCCAGCTGTCCTGGAACTCACTATGTAAACCAGGCTGGCCTTGAACTTACAGAGATCAAAACTAAAGTTTCAATAACAAACAAAATTCAAAATCACTTTATTGATAATATTTACACAATAGTTTAAAAATAAAAAATGATGATATAGGGGCTGGAGAAATGGCTCAGTGGTTAAGAACACTTGTTCTTGCAGAAGACCTGGGTTCGAATCCCAGCACCCACATGGCAGCTAACAACTATCCGTAACTCCAGTTCCAGGGACTCCATCGGCCTCTTCTGTCCTCTGCAGGCTTTGTGCCACACGGGTGCACTTACCTACATGCAGGCAGTACATGCATATACATAAAATAAAAATAATAAAATATTTTTTTAAAAAATCTACTAGATATCAAATTGACTTCTAAGTAAGTTCTCTTGTAAACTAAACTTGTTAAATTACAACATGGTTCCTATTAATATAAATTAACTTTAAGAAATGATTACTTCTGCTCCACGGTACAATTTCTCTCTGTGTTTAGATTTTTTTTTTTTAATTTATTTTTTGGTCTTTTTGAGACAGGGTCTCTCTGTAGCCCCAGCTGTCCTGGAACTCACTGTTTAGTTTTTTTGCTGGGAATCGAACCCGGGTCCTCTGCAAGAGCAGTCAGTGCTCTTAACTGCTAAGCCATCTCTCCAGCCTCTCATTATATTATCTTAATATATGTAATTTGGATTCCATGTTCTTTTAATAAGATGATGCTGCACGGCACTCTTCTTTGAGTCAAAGAACTACCATCTTCATGACTTCAGCTGTGCCTGCTTACAAAAGGTCATCACAATTGGGCTTGCTGACAATTATATTCCTTCATTAAGGGGGAGATAAATGGGGGGGGTCATTGGACCCTCACCAGAGTATCCAGCCATTCTTCCCAGCCAGCTATATGTAATTCTGCCCTAATTGCAAATGTTCTCCTGAATTTAAAAAGTACTATAGTAGCAGCTGGGTGTGGTGGCGCATGCCTGTAGTCCCAGCACTTGGGAGGCAGAGGCAGGTGGATAAAAAAAAGTACTATAATAGTAAAAGATTTATAGATAAAAATTTAAAAAAAAAACAGGGTATTTCCAGAATAGAAGGGATCATGAAATTCATTTTAAGCAAACTTATTAAAGGTCTGAACAGGTTTATGGAGATACAGAGTTGTTCATTTTCAGTCTACTCCTGGTTTGTACTGCACACCCGGTTACAGATTTTGATTAAATGGATGCAGAATAGTATTCGGTTACCTATGGCTGCTGAAAGATGTCTTTTATGTTTCTCTGCATTATACAAATGTTACTTTTGGTACTTTCTTTTGCCCATAACAAGAATGATTTAGCTTAAGAAAAACTAAGTGTACCTCCTTGAACCAGATGTATGCAATCTAGAAAGAACAGTTCTGGTGAAGCTTGGTCTGAATTCTGATTAGTTTACTTCCTGACTATAGGTATGTGATATAATGCCTCCCTTCTGAAAACTGTAAAACCGGTTATGGGATGCCTCTGTTTGTAATAGAACAACCTTCATTTGAGATAGCTCTAAGCAATTCTTGTTTCAAAGCCCCTTTCCTGGGCTGTGCCTAGTTAACCTGTGATGATAAATCTCTCCAGTCAATGTTTGAGAACATTTGGGTTTAGTCCAAGCTTTATCTATATATTACACAGTAATTTAAGGTAATAGGCTGGTGCTACTGACCTTCTTGGATGGTTAATAACCATACTTAAAAGCCCATACTAATCTGGTCAAAGGGACTTAAGGACAGTTTTGTTCCTTTCCCTAAAAGATGGACTCTGTCCAACGGGGCTATGGGAATCTCTTGTTATGTCCTGTAGCTGTGATGAGTCACCTGTCCTCTTGTTCAGGGAGGTCATGGAGACCCCACCAGAGGGACTTAAACCAGTGTCCAATCTGCAAAGAGGAGGGTCAACACAGAAGAAACATTTCCTCCATGCTTCCAAGCAAAGCCCTGGTCAAGCAGGGACCTCTTATCTTCACGTAAATGGAACTGGTAAAAGAAAAGGCCTAAGGAGCCAGAGGTTCCTCCCAAGCCCATGTGATCCCTGAGGACCAGATCCTTCACCGACCTTAAAGTGAAAGTAAATTAATTTGGGCCAACTGTATGGTCTTAAACACCTCAAAGGAAAGTATAACCAAGGATTAAAATAAACAGCATATTTCTTTTTTTAAAAAATTTATTATTTTTATTTTATGTGTATGAGTGTACTGCCTGCATGTATGTGAGTGCATCCATGTCGTGCAGTGCCTCAGAGGTCAGAAGAGGGCTTCAGATTCCCCTGGTATTGGAGTTAAGGACAGTTCCTAGCCGCCTTGTGGACACTGGGACTCGAACCCAGGTCCTCTGCAAGAGCAGTCAGTGCTCTTAACCGCTGAGCCATCTCTCCAGCCCCACAGATTATTTCTTTAAAGACTGAGGAATTATGCTTCCCAGACATTAAACTTAAAAGTTTATATACTATTTAGAAAAATTCTCACTAGGATTTTGTGCCACCTGCAGTCAAAAGGGTCAAGTTCACTATTGTTATCAAAATTAAATGACAGTTAAATTTCTTCTCTTCTCTGTCTAGAAGACTTGTAAGAGAAAATTCACAGTGTGACGCTAGCCTCTAACAACTATCATGATGCCTGAGAAGCAGATCCTGAGTCCAGCTGTTATGGCCAAATGAAAAATAAGGAAAATCCAATAAATGGATGCTTTTGGAAGCCCTCATCAAGGAATCCTAATGGACTTTGCACATTTAAAATTCACCCTATTCTGAATTCTGGTTCCCTGCCTGTAGTGTATGCCTAACTACTCTTACCTTTGCTTCTCCTTCACAGGCACCAGTTAAGGTCATTCTTTTCTCTACATAATACTTTTGGGTCTTTCAGGTAGATCCACTGAAGGGGTACTCCATTTGCCACACCACACCCTGTGTCCTTGTTTGGCATGGAAAAAGCCAGATCAGTCTGTGTCCTGATTCCCAATGACAAATTGGATTACCTCTTCAGAAAATAAAAATAAAAGTAAAAATTAGGGGATTTTTTTGGTCTTTTTGAGACAGGGTCTCCCTCTAGCCCCAGCTGGCCTGGATTCACTATGAAGACCAGGCTGGCCTCAAACTCCCAGAGATCTGCCTGCCTTTGCCTCCCGAGTGCTGGGATCAAAGGCGTGCGCCACCACACCCGGCAAAATTAGACAGTTTTAAAAGTAAAGACCCCAAAAGAAAAATGACCAGAGTCTTTCTCAACTGAAGGCTGGAAAATTCCTTGGGTCTGCCAGTGAGCTTGTCTCTAAGACTAAAAATGCCTGAACCATAAAAAGGAGGTATTCATACTGTTTTTGTATAAATCAGATCTGAAGAGGTAGAAAAATGCAATATAGCTACTAGAGAAAACAAAGGCCTGAAAAGTGGGAAATGAGTCTTTCTGAAAAAAAAAACAAAAAACAAAAAACCTAGAAAACTTCGGGTCCCCGGCTAGCTGTAACAGAACAAGTAGTGATGGTTCTATAAGCTTTCCTGTTAAAATCTTAGATAATAAACTCACTAAATTTATCAAAAACAAGTAGAGGCCCTCAAATGCCAGGTAATAGTCAAAAATACCTTAAAGTCCCTCTTAAATAACAGAAGGGATTATGTCAATAAAGAGGAAGGGATATTGTGGAGGCGGAAAGCTTTTGCAATGTGATGGTAATTAAGAACTTTGTAACAGGAAAACTCTTTAAGAGACAGGTATGGGGGAGGTGAACAGGAGGCTCCCATCCTGCCCCTCTAGTTGCCCAGAATGGAAGTCTTTGTTTCCAAAGTTTCACATTCCTGTAACCTTTGTGGCCATATGTTACCTTGCTTAATTATCACGTGTACCTTTTACTTGTCACCTATCTGCTGTTTTGCCTTTTGTTTGCATTTCCGCCACAAGTGAGTGTAAAACCCCCCAAAACTTGAACACGGGGGTCTAACTCGTTTTATTCATGGGCTCAGTCCCGCTACTGTCAAATTATTAAACTTCAGCTCCTCACTTGACTTTGGCTGTAGGTCTCTGATTTTTCTGTAACTGCTACCTCCCAAGGTTTAAGGATCAAGGATGGTTGGGCTGATGGAGCATGCCTTTGAAACCAGCACTTGGAAGCAGTGGCAGGCTGATCTCTGTTAGTTCAAGGCCAACCTGGTCTACACAATGAGTTCCAGGCCAGCTGAGGCTATAGAGAGACCCTGTCTCAAAAGACTTAAAAAAAAAAAGAAAAGAAAAAAGATCATTGCTGAAGATGAGGCGGAAATCTCTTTAGGGAAAACCCTAAATGGAAGTTAACCAACATCTATGCCATATTTTATTGTAGAACTCCATTTCCCAGCATCCTTCGCTGTGCCGCTTGGGCGTTGCCATGGAGAACGCAAACGCCCCCGCCCACTGCACAGAAAACTACATTTACCAGAAGGTTTGTGGACGGGCGGTGGACTCTGGACCAATCACAGTCCAGATGAAGAGCTTCTTCCTGCCGTCCTCGCGTGTGGGGGGCGTAACTTCCGGGGATGCCCTCGTGGAGTCTCTCTTTGCTACTGAGGGGTGATCACACGCTTCCCTTGAGGTCCGGGATCGCTGGTGTCCTCGCTTCCCAGGCGCTTGCGGGGAGGACAGCTGTTCGCCATCATCACCCTGGTCCTTGAAGCCTCCGAGGTGGTGCCCTGGGCCTGGAACGCCCGCGCGCGACGGTCCCACGGTCACCCAGCCCAGTGTGGTGCGGGCGTCGCTAGGCCCGCAGGACCCTCCGGGGTTCCGATGGCGGCGAAGGACTCGGCGTGTGTGAGTGGAGTGTGCCCGGCGGCCGGCACTCAGACTTCCCCGGACACGTCGTCCCACAGCCCTGCGCAGGAAAGGGTGTCTCCCCGTTGCCCTCCTCCCCCTTCGCTGTCTCTTGCTACTGGGGACTCTAGATTTCAGGTCCAGGCCTGAGGTCCCAAGTTCCCGCTATGCATTCTGCAAAGTTTTCCCATTTATGGGGAACAGTGGCACGTGGAAAGCTGTTGAATGACTAGGAACTGGGCTGTGCAACTGCTTCTAAGAGGCTGATTGGGAGTGTTTAGAGTCGCTGTGAAGTCTAGGGTCATTAGAGAACAGGTGACTGGAGTCAGACGAGACTGCAGATCTGGGTCTGAGAGTCCTGTAGAGATGTGATCTGACTTAAGCTCCCAAACTCCCTCTGGCTGCAGAAGAGAAAAAAATAGGGTGAGAATGAGGAAGAAGGAAGAGAGGCCCCAAAAGATTCCAATGTGAAGTAGACTTTGAGAAGACCAGGTGTGTTGGCATATGTCTAAAATCTTAGCACTGTAGAGGTGGAAGCAGGAGAATCAGGAGTTCAAGGCCTTGGCTGCATGGGGAGTTTGACTCCAGCTTGGGTTGCTTGAGATCTTGTCTCAAAAAAGGCCAGGTGTGGTTGTGCACACCTTTAATCCCGTCACTTGGGATGCAGAGGCAGACTGATCTCTGGTCTACATAGGGAGTTCCAGGCCAGCTGGGACTGTGTCTCAAAAACCCAAACAGACAAAAAACTGTGGGCAATGGTTGAACATGGAGGTGGAAGAATTTTTATTTATTTTTTAATTATTTGAGCTTGGGACAGGGTTTCATCATGTAGCCCTGGCTGGCCTGGAACTCGCTATATAGACTTGGCTAGCCTCAGACTCACAGATATCTGCCTGCCTCTGCCTCCTGAAGTCTGAGATTGAAGGCAAGCTCCACAACACCTGGTGGGAAGTAGAAGCTTGCATCTGTTATTTGAGTTGGGCTAGCCAGATATTATGTGGAAAGCGGGGGCGGGAAGAGACAGGAATGTTACCAGGGAGTTTGTCCTCAGCAACTGGAACATAGAAATGCCACTGATTGAAATAGAAAAGTACAGGTTTCTGGAACAGTCAGAAAGTGGATTTTTGGCTATGTTTTTGGCATACAAGACCAAGTTCTGAAGGATTCAGCTTAGATGCACATCAGTAGCAGTCATCCCATGAACCAAGGTAAAGGTATGGTTCATATTCTTGAGGGGCATCTATATGTCAGCACAGTGGATGTCTGGTTGTGGCAGTTGGGGACCAGTCTATTGGGCTGTGGTGGATGCCTCAGAGTCAGAGGAAGGGAGGAGCAGCCTCAGGAAATAGGTATGTGAGGGAGAGCTACATCCAAAATGTGACTAAAGTCCTTGGGATGGAGGCAGAGGCACTGAAAAGGGAAGTAGGCTGATGGGAGGACCAGGGATTATGCACTTTTTTGTGTCTCTGGGTTCATTAGCTTTTTTTTGGAGACATGGTCTCCCTGCAGCCCCAGCTGGCCTATGTATACCAGGCTAGCCTTGAATTCACAGAGATCCACCTGCCTATGCCTCCTGAATGCTGGGATTAAAGGCATGCGCTGCCATGCCCAGCAGGTTCATTAGCTTTTGGGGGGACACTTAGAGTGCCTGGTAATCTGCTGGGCTGTTGGTATAGCTCAGTTGCTTGGGATGAGAAGCCAGGGGCTGCATTTTGAATATGTATAAGTAGGCTGTTAAGGGGACAGCATGTAGAGCCCAGAGACCAATGGTCCTGGTTCTGAGTGGCTTGAGTGTTAAAGGTAGGAATGGGTGCTGCCACCTCAAGTCAGTGGAGTCTTCTGGAGGTGTGGGGCAGGACAAGCTCTTGATTACTATCATGAGGCAGCCATTTATAGAGGAGCATGGGGAGGAAGTTGGTTGTCTAGGCCATAGGGTGCGTCACAGGGCCTGTGGTTAGAGTGTTCAAGGACAAGTGTATTATGTGCAGACATATGATGCAATGGGCCAAGGTCTGAGGGAGAAAGATGGTGAGCACCGCCTTTCATCCCCCAAGTCTGGGAGGCAGAAGCTGACAGCTGACGTATCCTGCCTGTCCCATCTGCCTCTTTGAGCCATGAAGAGAGTAACATTCATGAGCACTGGAGCTTGAGAGAGGGTTATTTGGGAATGTGTGTGTGAAGGGAAATCTAGTTACAGAAGAAAGACTGCTGCCAGAGAAGCAGCAGGACGTGGAACTGGGCCCAGATAGGTCTGCCTATGCCCCCCTCCCTCCACCCCGTTTCTCTGCCATCTTTTGGTCTGGTGACTTAGCTGTTGCCATCATGGCAGGACCAGGTGAACTTTGAAGACGTGGCTGTGTACTTCTCCCAGGAGGATTGGGGGCTTCTTGATGAGGCTCAGAGGCTCCTGTACCGTGATGTGATGCTGGAGAACTTTGCACTTGTGGCCTCCCTGGGTAAGGCTCTTACAACCACCCCAGTATCCTCTTCTGTGCTCTGCTCTTGCCGTTTTCTCCAGGACCGGGTCTGTTTTCCCATAGCAGAAACATGGGTGTTGCTTCCTCACCTGGACTAACTGCTGTGTGTGTACAGAACTGGGCTGTAGTGGAGCCTGTTCTTCCAGGAGCCTTGGCACTGAAGCCTTCCTAGGAAGGAGTCAGGATTGGGATCTTATAGTCTGGCAGCTGGAGTCTAGGTTGATGGCACCTCTGCTCCAGGTTCTGATTTTTTTCTTTTTGTTTTTATGTGTATGAGTGTTTTTTGCCTGCATGTATGTAAGTGAACCCATGTCATGCAATGGCTGCAGAGGCAAGAAGTGAGGGTGTCAGATCCTCTAGAACTAGAGTTATGGATGGTTGTGAGCCACCATTCAGGTGCTGGAAACCAAACTCAGGTTCTTGCCGGTGCTAGCCAGCCAAGACGGACAGTACCTGAAAGGGGAAGTGAGGATTGAAAGAAAAGGAGACAGAAAAGATGCTTGGGAGGACTGACAGTGAATACTGCAGCCCCAGTTTATTTCAGCTCCACCTTTTTATACAGAAGAACTCAATTAGTTTCCACAGCTGTTTTCCCCACCTGTATCTGAGGGTCAAGGGGCGGTCAGATCAAAGGCTTCTTTGATCTTTTTGTTTACCACTATTGCCTCAAGGTCAGGTGTTGTGAGGCTCTCCATATAAACATTCCTCCTGATAAGGCAGATTAGATGCTGGTGTGCATAACACAAACTCAGTAAACAAGCCTGACACAGCTCAGTGTACATAATAGACAAACAGCCCCCAACATCTCCCCCTTTTATTTTTATAACACCAGATTATGCTATATCTGGGACAGAAGGACCGTGCTTGTCTTAGGTTGTCTTCTGCCAGAGCAAAGCCTTATCCCTCATCAGCATGTTGCTTCCATCAGCTACGCCCTGTCTTAGGTTGACTTTCTCCCAGAAGATCTTACCCATCTTTGACTACCGGCCTCTGTTAGGGGAGGGAG